TGTCAATGTTTATTCTTGCCATCTCCTGTTTGACCACATCCAGCTTCCCAAGGTTCATAGATCTTACATTCCAGGTTCCTATGCAGTATTTTTCTTTGCAGCATTGGATTTTCCTTTCACTTCCAGGCGTGTCCACAGCTGAGGGTCCTTTCGGCTTTGGCCCAACCAGTTCATTAGCCCTGGAGCTACTTGTAGTTGTCCTCCGCTCTTCCTCAGTAGCATGTTGGACGCCTTCTGACCTGAGGGTCCCATCTTCCAACATCATATCATTTAGCCTTTTGTTTCTGATCATGGGGTTTTCTTGGCAAAGATACTGGAGTGGCATTGCCATTTCCTACTCCAGGTGGATTGCGTTTAGTCGGAACTCTCCACTATGACCTGTCCGTCTTGGGTGTCCCTGCACGGCATAGCCCATAGCTTCTCTGAGTTACTCAAGCCCCTTCGCCATGACAAGGCAGCAATCCATGAAGGAGAAATGCTCTTTTAGGTTGCATTAAAAGAAATATAGTCTCCAGCTCCTGTGAAGTACTAGTTCCCCTCTATTTAGCACAGGTTAGGTATCATCTTGAGTACTGTGTCCAGTTCTGGACACCACACTTCAAGAGGGATGTTAACAAATTGGAAGAGTTTCACAGGAGGGCAATGATGATCAGGGGCTGGAAATCAAGCCCTATGAGGAAAGACTGAAAGATTTAGGCATGTTTAGCCTTGAGGAAAGAAGACTGAAGGGATATATGTTAGCACTTTTCAAAAACAGGAGTTGGATTCAATGGTCTTATATAGGCCCTTTCCAAATTCATGATTGTATGTATCTATGATTCTATGCATAGAAGGTAGATAACATTGCTTTGTAGGTGGAGAAACATTTGCCCCACCTTCTGCACTGAATTTATAACCCATTTGTTTAAGGCAAGGAAAAAGCTGGTGAGTGCTGCAACACTGGAGGCATTGAAGAAAAACATAGATAAGCACCTGCCAAATATGCTTTGATTGTATTCCTGCACTGAGCAGGGGGCTGGACTTGATGGCCTTGTAGGCCCCTTCCAACTTCACTTTTCTATTAGTCTATGAAAGTTTAACTCCTTGATTAGGTGTTCATGAAAGAATACTGTTGGTTTTCACGCTGAATGTTTAAATAGATGAAACAGAACTCATGTAATGATTATAAGGTTATTTTTACAAGTAGAAATTCACCTAAGGGAGTACAATAGATTCCAGTGAAACTGGCAGGCTTGGAGAAGATATATGTACAGTGGTGCCTTGACTTACAAAATTAATCCGTA